CTAGGTTGCAGATCATGTTTATCTTCTAGAGTGTATAATATACTTCTCTCTGAAATCATTAAAACAAAAAGCTTAAATTCATTTACAAAATCGTTAAGTTCTTGGATATTGAGTCAGCCTAGGCAAATAGTGCATGACATTATAAATCAAGATATATAAAACATGGGTTTAATTAATGCAAGTATATCGATTATTTAAACTTTTTCTAAAACTCTAAATAAGGCTTTAGTTACCGATTATGACTTTATTCTGATATAGACAGAACATTAATCAATAATTGGGCAATAATATACCCACACACAAGTAAACTTAGGCTAAGCTTACTTCAGTGGTTTCTTCCTCTTGTTTATTAGTACTATTTATGTATTTTTTATATTATATATTTTGAATATTGTTATTTTTACTAATAAACTTATTATTATTATAAGCCCACCATTTAAAAATACCTGTAATAATCATTGCCTACCTTATGAAGGTATTCGTTCTTCCGATATTATAATGGGATTTATACAAAGTAATTTTTAATATTATTTGAGATTGGCAATATAAAAAAAATCAAGATTAAATTTTCGTATTTGTTAACTACTAATTCTAATTTCGTCTTTTTATTAACATTTTAAATTAAATTGCAAACAAATATTTGATATGTACGTGCGTTTTAGTTAAAAACCCCATTTTTCCAAATTAGAATAATATTTATTTTCCATTAAGACCGTATTTGCACAGCATTTAATTAGTCATGGAGCATATTTATAAACACAGAATTGAATTTATATAGATTTGTTTGCATTTTATAATCATTAAAATTTTATCGCAATGTAGACCGTACAAATCACCGGGACCAGATGGTGTACTGCCTGTGCTTTTGCAACAGGCAATAGAAATACCGGCCCCGCATATTTGTAGGCTCTACAGGGCCAGTTTGGTGCATAAACATGTACCAAATACCTGGAAACAAAGCAGAGTTGTCTTTATACCTAAACCGGGGCATCCAACGTATGCAGTGGCAAAGGCCTATAGACCAATAATTCTGATGTCATTTCTATTGAAACGATTGGAAAAACTGATTGATCAGCATGTCCGGTAAACCACTCTGATAAAAAGGCCATTTCATACAAAGTAGCCAAGAAATAATCCTAGGAGCATTTCCTGACATTGAAGGAGCTTTTGATAATACCTCATTTAAATCAATGGTAGCTGCCGCTCGCAAACATGGAATAGAAGACACCATCTGCTGGTGGAGAGAAGACATGTTATGCGGACGGCAAGTACAGGCACAAATGTTCAGTGAAACCATGCAGGTGAATATCCACAGGGGATACCCACAGGGTGGAGTTCTTTCTCCTCTATTGTGGAACCTAGTGGCAGATGAACTGCTGAAAACACTGAACAATCAAGGGCTGTACGCCCAAGGATATGCCGATGACATAGTTATCACAAACATAACACCAAACCATAGTCTTTGAACTCATGCAAAGAGCTCTTAGGCTGACAGAAATGTGGTGCGTTAGGAAAAACCTCTTGGTAAACCCTGACAAGGCACAACTCATAACCTTTACTCGGAAAACAAGGTTGGAGGTTTTAGAAACTCCGACTCTGTTTGGAGGAAAGCTAAACAAAACGAACCAAGTAAAATATCTGGGTCTGATCCCAGATAGCAAACTTACTTGGAACCAACATAAAAAGTGACCAACAAATGTAAAATGTCTCTCATAGTATGGAGACGGGCATTTGGAAAAACATGGGGATCAAAGCCAAAAATGGTCCACTAGCTATATTTGGCAATAACAAGACCCATGATAACTTATGGAGCGGTTGTTTGGTGGCCAAAAGTAAACCAGAAAACAGCCCTCAATACCCTCTCAGGAGTACAGAAGATGCTAGCATGCCTTTGTATTATAGGAGCACTAAGAAGTACACCGACAGCCTTTATGACCTAGTCATAAAGGGGGAGGCCAGAATGAGTGCATACATACTGGAAATCTCCAACAATTGGAACCCACTGGGATGTATAAAACATACCAGAATAACACATGAAGTGTTTTATATTAAATATGGGATCAGATCACATGACACCCCTCCTAACCTTAAACAGACTCTTCCAGGTCAACTGTAACTGGAACGAGGTAAATAAGGAGATAGATAAATACTTGCTTAGCGGTCTCGTATGGTATACGGATGGATCTAAAACTAACAAGGGAACAGGCTCTGGTGTACTTGGAGTTAAACCCAAATGCGACATCATTGTCTCGCTGGGAAAACATGCCACTGTATTTCAGGCTGAAATCCATGTAATCGAATTGTGTGTACGAGAGAACTTAAGAAGGAAGTACAAAAAACAAACCATCCTAATTATTTCAGATAGCCAAACAGCCTTAAAGGCTCTTGATTCAAACAGAATCAAGTCAAAGCTTGTCTGGAACTGCCTTGGAATATTAAATAATCTGGCAACCCACAACAAGGTAAAACTAGCGTGGGTACCAGGGCACAAAGGTATCCAAGGAAATGAAAATGCTGATGAACTCGCCAAAGAGGGATTAGATCTACCATTCACAGGACCCGAACCTGTATTTGGGATAAGCAAAACCTGTGCTCGACAGGCAGTGAACAGATGGATAACCACAAAACACCAAATTCACTGGCAACAGATAAGAGGGTACAGAATCAGTAATCTCATGCTAAGGGGACCAAACCCACGCATGGCTACTGAGGCACTACAACTCTCAAGGCTTCAGATATCCACCATTGTGGGATTACTAACGGGGCACTTGCTGAAACGCCTTCATGTGATGGGATTACACAATGATCCCACTACGTGTAGACTCTGCATGGAAGAGGAAGAAACCTCATACCATGTGATCTTCGAATGCGAAGCTCTTACTAGGCGACGTTTTATCCTTTTCGGCCTAGAACCGAAAAGAACGCCCTAGGAACACTTGGTAGGGAATCTATTAAAACTAACCAAAGACACAGAACTATTCAAAAGATAGTACCTGAATACGGGGAAAGCAGGGGAATACAATAGACTTAAGAGGCCGCAGTGTTCTGGGCCAAACCTAACCCTACCTGCTTACAACCGATAAAGATAAAAAAAGACCGTAGGCCTGAAAAAATATTTAATTTTATCTGATGAGCGCAGGCGGTCCAAGCGTTACACAGACCCTCCCGAAGCGACCCAGCTAGGAATAAATATGACCTGGCGAAGTTTTCCACTGGTACGCTCTGGATTCTCAGCTATGAACTGACAGTAGGATAATATGTTCGCGTGCTATGGATACTATTTAATAATTAAAATTAATGAGATTCTTCATAAAATTTATTTTACGTATATTTTAGAATTTCTAAAATCATTTCTGTGAAAAACGGTAAAGGTGAAAAAAAAAAAAACGAAAAATCGAGTTACATGGCGCAATCTATAGGTATTTGTATGTACTATTACGCCTACTAAACATTTACAGGAATATTGATAAGGTTTGACATACATAGCTAAAAATATTTTAGTCAGTTGCGGGAAAAACGATGAGTGTACCTGACGTTTGATGGAATATAGATGATCGTGACTTTGTATTGAAACCATAGCCGTCTCTGTAGAAAAGCCAACATCGCATAAACACCTCTGCCAATACTAAAATGGAAAAACAAGAATCTGTTTTTTATGATAATCTGTCCTATTTTAATAATTTCCAAATTGTATCATAAACATTTTTTGTTACTGATATAAATAAAAAAAAACTTGGTGGAATATATTTTTTACTTTTTGCAAATCTCGTTCTCGATCTCGTAAAATCTCGAACTCCAAATCTCGATCTCGACTTTAAGAGAATCTCGACTGGGCAATCTCGATCTCGAATCTTGCCGGGATCAGTAAATGATTACTCTTAGAAAATAAAAAAAGTATCTTTTCAAATACATTAGAATATCCATTGACATATGAATTTTTTAAATAATTTATATTAAAAATATAATAACTTTAAGGTAAATCAAGAATTGCGGCACATAAGAGACCTGGACGAATCAGCTGTTAACTGGCTTCGATGTTTACTTATGATGAGGCCAGCTTTTGAAAATAGTCTCTCGGCAGGGACTGACTTGGCCGGAGTACTCAAAAAATTGCGAGCCTTTTTTGATAGAGAGGGGTAATCATTTTAATTAAGAAGACACCACATTAAAATATCCGCATCCTTGTCGGCTCTTCGAGAATTATAGTAGCGATCAAGTTCCTGCCTCGAATTATCAGTGACTTGGGATGACTCGTAGATTGAGCTAAAGTCAATATCATCATCGGATGAACAATTTGATGATGACGACGACGACGACGACGAAGCTGAAGTATTGTCGCTGTAAATAGCTTCAAATTCTTCAATACTTTTTTCATTCATCTCTCTCCCCCATGTTGTAGCATTGAAACTATCCAGTTTATGCCTGGGGTCCAAAATTAAGCAAACACAATGTAACCAATTGGATTTGTAATAATGTTCGAGTATCTCTTGCAGCCCGGTATGCTTCAAATAATGCATTATTATTTTCACTATCGCTTAATGTACACAACTTGTTCTGGTGAATCATCCGAGCCAAACAGAAATCAAATAAACGTAAACAAAACGGGTGAGATCTCGGCGAGTTTTTTCGAGATCTCGAAGAGATCTTAGCGAGATTTCGACGAGATTTTTTCAAGATCTCGGCGAGATTTTTTGATATCTCTTTTTTTGCTGAGACTTCGAGGATCAGATCTCGACTCTCGATCTCAACTTGTTATGCAGATCTTCTCAAATTCAAAGTTTTTCGACATTCATCGTTCTTCGCGCCAGCTTCTCAAATGTAAATGAGATGCTTGCATTTTTTGGCAATTCTGCAGCTCTACAGCACGTATGCACCAGCCGCCACTGGTAGATAACTCAAAACAAAAGAGTTTTAATTTTTTTTCTATAAAAATTAGCTGCCTTTAAACAAATGTCTTAAATTTCGGACACACTGTATGTATAATACATTTTTTTTTGTAGACTTGGACGAATGCGCTTATTTTGTGGTTACAGATTTCGGACAGATATACCACACAAAAGTTTTGCCTCCAATGTCTCGTTTTGTAACTACTCAAACCATTGAAGTTATCAAAATCAGAACACCGCCTCCAAAACATGGCCACTTTCTGGACTATTTTGAAGACATTTGTTAGTTCTTGGAAATATTGTCGAAGATTGTTACTTCATCTAAGTATTATTTTTAAAGACAATTAAATGTGATTTTTATTGGCAATTCTCTTTTATTTGGTCTTTTTTGTAAAGCTATAAAGCTGCGGCATTATTAAAAAAAATCTATTTGCCATCCTTCATAAATACTTCTTCCTATTTCAAAAATACAAAATATACTGGATGATTCCTAATTTGATACTTCTTTTTAACTGCGTCATTAAAATAAAGAAACTTTTCAAAAAAAAAAAAAATTCATAAGGATGTAGATTTAAGGACCTCGCAAAAGGGAAGGTTACAGGTTTAAAAAATTCAGATCCGAGTTGACTATATGATTTTTATGCAAAAGCAATGGGGCGCAAGTCTTCATCTGGGTAGATATGAGAAATAACACCCTCCCCACAACGCTATTTCTTTTTTTATAGCCTCGAAGCACTCGGTTTGTTGCTTACGTCATTGCCACTTCTTATTTTTACTTTCCTATCTGTATACAGATATAAGGAAAGTATAGGAATCATGATTTTTTTCGACCTCGAGTTTTCGACGGATTTTTACGTTTTGAGGTCCCCTGAATCCGTTTTGACTATTTTCGCGATGATGTCTGTGTGTGTGTCTGTAGGTCGCATAACTCATGAACCGATACACAGAAAAACACCAAATTTTAAACTTAAGCTTTGTTTCAGCGTCCAATGAGCTGATTAGATTTTGGGCAGAGTCGGAACATCTGGGGGGGTACTTTATAGGTAATCATTTTTATATTTTATGGAATATATCTGTTATTTACGTTTGGAGAAGAAAATTCTTCAAATAAAAGTTACTTTTGATATAATTATCTATAATTTTTGCTTTATGCAAAATTTTCCTAAAATGGTCCGTATTCGAGAAATTTGACAAAATGTAAAAAAAATAATTTTTTATAAAAATTGTTCAAATAAAAGTTGTTTGTAATATAATTCTCTATAATTTTTATTCTATAAATAATTTCTCTAAAATGGACCGTATTCGAGATATTTGAGAAAATGTGTAAATTTCGAATTTTGAAGAAAACTCAAAAACGGATAAAGGAAAAAACATTAAATTTTAAACTTAAGTTTTATTTCGACCTGAGGTAAACTGATTAGATTTTGGACAGAGTCGGAACATTTGGGGGGGTACTTTATTGGTGGTCATTTTTATATTTTATGGAATATATTCGTTATTTACGTTTGGGGAAGAAAATTCTTTAAATAAAAGTTACTTACAATATTATTATCTATAATTTTTGTTCTATGTCAAATTTTCCTGAAATGGTCCGTATTCGAGAAATTTGACAAAATGTGCAAAATTCTGATTTTTAAGAAAATTGTTAATCTAAAAGTTGTTTGCGATATCGATCTCTATAATTTTTGTTTTTAAATTACTTTTCTAAAATGGACCGTAATGGAAAAATTGGAGGAAAAGTGCTAAATTAAAATTTTTCAGTATTTTCGTTTTCAATGAATATCTATAGAAAAATGTTTCGAGGTAGATGTATGTGGAAAATGTATATATTTAGTTTATCCTCTAAACATTTTTAGAGATGCTGCAATAGGTTAACCAGATAGGAAAGGCATGTGTTGGACACATCAGATTTTTTTAAAAGCATATAGTGGGTATAATTTATCACAGAATTTTTTTATGTACTTACCGTAGACATTTATAAGCCTTAAAAAAGACTTTAAACTAGTTATGTAGGTGGGATGTGGAGCTTTAATTATAGCTTCGACTTTATCATCCAAAGTAGATAGACATGAGCTCCTTCTTGTTTATAAGCATCCTTGAACTCCTTGCATGTATTTTACTTGACAAACTTGAAAAGAACCTTTTTATAACATTTTTAACTTCAATCTAAAACCCAATCTTTAAGCTTAGGCTTTATTTTTCTAAATTTGTTAGTTTTGTTTTGAATCCTAGAGAAAGTCATTCCACAAGGACCAAGAGCACAGAATCATGGACAATAATGAAAAATCATTAGAAAAAAGTTTAAAATCTTACTGGATGTAGTGCAAGGTTTTGATGGTACGAAGGACTATGCCATGATTTAAAAACATTATTGTCAAGACAAATTCAGACGTATTAAAACCACATTTATCAGAAATACATTTTAAAATTAAATAGGAAGAAGCATATTCTGAATTATAGAAATCAAGGCAGAAGTACCCAAAGGTACCTAGTGTACGGGGTAACATACTTTACCTACTATACCAATGACATATTTAACTTTGAGTAAGTTACGTTACAATAGTCACATTGCAGACGACACTAGCTATAGTCCTAGAACCAAGTTGCAGATTTGTGACTTATTTTCTTATGGCTGAATTTGTTATTAAAGTGTGCTATGATACGAGTCCAATGAAATGACGAAACCGCGAGGTTCAGACCGGGCCGCTTTATAATATATACTCTATGATGGTGGGTGTGGTTTTCCTCACCTGTAAGTCAAATGGCACCATCAATTCGCCCTGGAGCGCCACGGCAAATAATAATAATAATAGCCGCCCCTTTCCCCGCACAAGCTCAGCTTTTGGGGTTAAAATTCACTCGTAAGGGGGTGAATTAGGGAGAGTATTTTTATTATATTATTATATATCGTTCCTATGGCCGATAAAGGACTTTCTAGAGATGATGCTGTTCAACACTTTTTAGAAGATATTTCTAAATATTATGAGACTCTTCTTACTGATGATAGGTACTGTTGGCACAATAAAGGGAAAGCCGAAATTAAAGGATAAGGCAATATTATGTACATTCCCAAATCTCCCTTTATGCTTGTATTATAATAATAAAAAATCTGTTAACTATGTTTTTTTGCTCTTAAAACTATATTTAGATATAATTCAAAAAATTGTACTTACCAAATTTCACTATTTAACAAACCTTTTTGAATTTAGTCATACCTGCCTAATTTGCAGTTTATATGGATAAAATTAAATAATTTATCAATTAAAACATGCAAGACTTATTTAGAAATAAATACCACAGTATATTATGTACTTTATTTGGCAATAAAGATTATTTTTATTATTTTGACAAAATTGTGTAAAAGTTCCATAAGAAGCCATGTATTTTAAACAGCCTAGCGACAACCGCCCTTGCGGTGAATTTTTTTACAAATAACTTTTTAGAATCTATGAACATACCAACACAATGCAAAAAGTCTGATTCCTTTATCAGGTGCGTTTTAATCATCCGCTTCTGCTTCCGGAATTGTCGGTTAAGTCGTTTTAACCTGTCAGATTAAAACAAGAAAACCGACAATTCCGAAGCAGAAGTGGATGATTAAAACGCACCTAAAGAATAAGGCTTAGGCCTAGTTAAATGTGGAAAAAGAAGAATTATTTTTGAAATTGTCACAATAAAAATGTCTTTACTCTACATTATGTTCATCTTACGTTACATGTAGTGAATTATGCAGGCTAATTGTGACAATTGGCAAAGAGTAATAAGAATGGATAGAGGAGAATACACCACTTGTACAGTTATTCTCAAAGGTGCTACTATTACATCGTGGAGAATCAAAGACGAAGAACAAATATTTATGAGCCGTATTTCGAAACTAGACAACTACCATAAATATAGAGGAGGTATTTGTTTAATATTTCCCCGGTTTGAACACTGGGAAGTAGGTAGATTTCACGGGTTTGCTAGAGATTTAATGTGGGGCGTAAAACGGGGCCCATACAATGACAAAGAAGGAAATGTTCACCTGGATATGATTTTGACTTCCGATTGCTTTACTAGATCTTGTTGGAATTGTGACTTTGAAATTCATTACAGGTAAAGATTGGTTTCTTCTAAACCTAAGGTAACCAGTAGTATGTTATTAATCTATTCGATGGAACGTAAAACGAAGTGTTCTGGAAAAATATTTATAAGCTATTTAAGAACACTTAAGGAATGTTTAAAATTTATTTAAGTTTAGATTAGCTTGTTAAATATCTATAACCTCATTCCATCAAGTGAAATGGACTTACTATGTAGGTAATCATAAGGGTTCAGAGAACCACATTGTACGCCATGCTCAGTTATTCTCAAATGTAATTTCCACATCCCTAATAAAATATTTTGGATTGGAAACTTATATTTATAGGTATTTATAAAGGGTGAGTCATGAGGAACCTTACAGATTTCCAGCATATGTAGTGTCCCTTAGGGGGTATTTCTAATGAGCATTAAAAATTGGCAACTCCTCTTCGTTATTAATTTACAGGGTATTTTGAATTTTGATAAAAATTTATATGGCCCTAAAATCAACAAGGATCACTAGATTTCTCTAATTTTTTCGTGAAAGTGTAAACTGTCTAGCATTTAATTTATATCCTCAAAAGTTAAAAATACCAGGATAGGCTTAGGAAAAATTATTCTCGACGATTCATATCAAAAAGTTTGCCCTATACACGATTTTTTAAAATTACAATAATATATTTTTAAAGTACATAGATATACAACAAAACTGTGTATATGAAATTTTTGTTACATTTTCCTTAATTTTATTTAGAAGGTTTCTTAATGCAACTAAAAAATGAGGCGATGTTTCATGTTGGAAATACATCCATCGGATACCTACGTTGGCAAGTAAATTAGGCAAAGTATTTTGCAAAAAGTCTAAGTAAACTTGTCCTCTTAAAGGAGAATCAAAAAAGTGAGGCTCTATAAATTGGTTATTTATCACACCAATCCAAATATTCACCGAAAACCTTAACTGGGACCGAAACTCTCGAACAGCATGGGGATTATCTTCCCGTAATTCACACATGTGAATTACGGGAATTATTTATCCCATCCCTTGTAAAGTGTACTTTTATCTGTAAACAATATCCTATACAGCACTGGTCTATGAGTTGCAAAACACTTTCAAAATTCCAGCCTATGGATTTCATCTCCAGGATGTAGCCGCTAAACTAATTGAATGTGATATAGGTGTAAATGATTTTTTCGTAAGACTCTACTCACTTTTAATTGGGTAACATTAATTTGTAGACTTACTTTCCTGGTGCTTATTGTGGAGCTCGCAATAACAGCATCAAGAATATTATTTTCCTACACATGATCTACATTTCGTTCTGTATTTCACAATAGACAATTTTGAAGCTGAATACCAAACTGGAGTACGAAAGAGCTTTCTGCACCCAATGAGTTCTTCATTAATGATATAGCGTCCAAACGTTGTGAATTTTATCCAGACGTACAAAGTGGTTTAAAAATTATTTATGGCTCTTCCACCAACGACAGAGTTAATCGAAAGAACATTTAGCACGCTAAGGCATGTTAAAACATGGCTGCGGTCTATTCGAGACTGAAGACTAATTGTTTATATTTAGAAGATAAACGTAATAAGCTACAAATTAATGTCAAAGAAGGCAGCAGAGCACCTAGACAATTTTGAGCTGAAACTTATTCCATACTTTTAGGCTATTTTTATACCCTATTCTACAAAAATGTACAGGGCGATTTCTGATAAAATTTAAAAACTAATCCGGACCTGGAAAATGGACAAAAAGATTAATGGTGCAGTATAGGCACTAAAGGCTTATGTTTTCATTCTATATAGTATTAGGTTTTATTTTGAAATTTCTTAGAGTTGTTCGTTATTCTTATTCGTTAAAATTAATTTATTGTTTGTTGATATGAAATTTGAACGTAATAAATCATTTCTAATAAATATATATGACCTTATGTTTAATTTATTTGAGTCTACAAAAATGTACAGGGTGATTTTTGTTTAAAAATTAAAAATGAATAAGTGTACTAATCCGGATCTGGAAATTGGACAAAATAAGATTAACGGTGAAGTATAGGCATAAAAGGCTTATGTTCGACTCCTTTCAGTTCAAATGTATAAAATTAACAATGTTTTCTTTAGGTTATAACATTATTATGTGACCCCTTAAGGTGATTTTTCAGTTTTGCCCAAAATCGAAACTTTATAAAAAAAAATGTGACAAAAATGTCATATACACACTTTTGATTGTCTATCTATGTACTTTAAAAGTCTCCTACTATAATTTTAAAAATCGTATACAGGGCGAACTTTTTGATATGAATGGCCGAGAATATTTTTTCCAAGGCTATCCTGGAATTTTTAAGTTTTGAGGATATTAATTAAATGTTAGACAGCAGTGTATATATTCATCAAAAAATTAGAGAAATTTAGTAATCCTTGTAGATTTTACGGCCATATACATTTTTGTCAAAATACATATTAATAACGAAGGGGAGTTGCCACTTTTGAATACTCATATGATATACCCGTTAAGGGACTCTACATATGGCAGAAGTCTGTAAGATTCCTTATGATATCCTGCATTCTGAATACCACAAAAAAAGTTTTATAAATGATACACTGTTTATTTAGTTTTATTGAACCGTTTTTAGTGTTTCTTTCTAGAATAACTTAGGTAATTGGATTAAACAGTTTAAGATATTTTTTAGTTTAATATTAAAAACGTCCGAACTAGAAACCAAAATAGAAGTTGTAAATCTCAGTCCATCAACTAGTTTTCAATTTCATTTAGAACAACATTGGCATATGAAAGTAAAAGATGTATCTGCTGTTGTCTTCAAAGGTCTCAAGGTAAGCTTACTTTTTTTAATAATTTCTTTATTTATAGTCAACTAAATTTATGATTACTTTTACGCCATAAAATAACTTTTTTTATTACAACAATTAAGAGATCCCTCTGTTTAGGAGATTATTTAGCAATTTATCTTTGGAATGTATTTGGGAATAATGTAAAATGTCGCAGTTATAAATTTTTCTTTTTAATATTCTTCTGTAAATATATCAAAATGTCAAATTAATTTAAATTTTTATTTACACAACAATTAGAAGTCGAGGTAGCAATAAACTTGCTAAAACTAGATAAAGCTGCAGGTAACAATGGTATTACATCAGAAATGTTAAAAAAATTTGGATTAAAAGGAAAATAAATATTAATTTTTTTACTTAAATACCGAATAAATTGGAAGTGGGAATATTATTACCTCTGTACAAGAAATGTGATAATAGAGACTTCAAACAATAGAGGCATTAAAATATTGAGTACAGTGTTAAAAGTTTATAAGAAAATCATTGAAAAAAATTAAAAAAAAAAAACGAAAGAATATGAATTAGAAGAACCACAGAGTGTTTTTGGTAAAAGTAGAGATGTTTAAGACCACATATTTACAGTGAAAGAGTTAATTAAAAAAAAAAAATAGAAATAATATCTATATATTACTTTCTTGGATGAAGCAAAAGGCTTCGATATTGTTTCCAAACAGCAAATATGGACTACTTAATTTAAAAAAGAGAGGAATAAACCAGAATTCAATTGACGCTATAAAAATTATAAATACACAAAACAAGAGAAATTATTTTAGAACCGGAAACCTACAATTTGAAAAATTTACTTACGTGTATAAAGTGGGAGAACTGGCAAAAGCCTTTCCAACTTTTACTTCTGCTTTATATTATGAATAGTGAAGGGAAGCAAAGGAGAGGTGGGAATTTTTAGAGAGGGTATATAGTATCGTGCATATCCAAATTTCACTTTAAAATCGTGAGTTTTAAGTTCCGTTATCTAATACCGAAATATTCGTAAAATAATAGACATGTATAGGATCTTGGACACCAATGCTTTTTAAATGAAAAACTGTAGTTCACTCTGGATAGTAGAGTGCTGGTGTGGACATTTAAGTAAAGATAAGGACAAATATTGCAAAGATAGGACAAATATTGCAAAGATAGGACAAATATTGCTAATAATTTAAAGGGGGGAAAGTTATTTGTTATAAGGTAAAGTCAACATTAGACAATGAAAATAAAATATATTTCGTTTTAAAATTATATTTTTAAAGTAACAGTATTAAGTATTTACAGTAACTCAATAAGTTTCAAAATTGTCTCTCTTTGAAGCTCAGCTTTTTTATTCAGGCCCATTTTCAGTAAACTTGTAATTAGTTTCTTTTTCTTAATTTGTTTTTCTTTGTAATTATTCCTAATTTCAATTCCCCGTTCTGTTTTGTAAAATTATCTCCGTTTCTCGTTAGCTTCTTCCCTCCGCTTGATTCCTTCGGCACCTCTATCACATCTACATGTGGATTCATTATAAAGTTCGTGTTCAGATGTGTAGTTTTCTAAGTCTTTTACACCTTCAGATGCTAATTCTGAAATTTCAATGCGTACTACGCAACACTGTTTTCCTCGGGAATGTAACCAATCTTGTTTGAATACTCTTCTATCGTAATTAGAATGAGGTGTACCTCTAAGACCATCTCCATCCCTTCTAAGCGGCTTTTGTCCATCAGCACAGGTGATGTATCTGAGGATACCAACAGCATGGTCCAAGCAAATTATTTGTATGCGCAAAAATCTTGGTGGTGGGGGTAATTAATTATTTGTTTAAGGTATTGAGATATTAAAGACTTTTCCAGTCTACTGATACATTTTCTACGAGTAGCTTCTCTAAAAATAACAAAAAAATGTCTTCATTGTCAAAAACTGATTATTTGACTCTCTTGAATCTAAATGAAATTAACGCATTGTCTCCACAGGAAATGGCACAAGATTACGAAGAATTGTCTAAAGAATGGTATCACTTAATATTAAATGAAAAGGACTTTAATTTACTTGCTTGTGCTCCAAATATTAAATGGTATTCTATTTGTTGATGTCATCTAATAGCAGACGATGGTAGTACAGCACATGAACATCTTCACGCTTTAATACATTTTACTAATGGATTCATAATGTTAGCCTACAAGAAAAAACTACAGCACACTGGTACACGATTCCATTCAAAAGCAACTTTCAAGAAAATAATTTGCTTGGACCATGGTGTCCTCAGATACATCACCTGTGCTGATGGACAGAAGCCTCTTAGAAGGGATGGAGATGGTCTTAGAGGTACACCTCATTCTCATTACGATAGAAGAGTATTCAAACAAGATTGGTTACATTCTCGAGGAAAACAGTGTTGCTTTGCCATTTAAAAAGCTGGTGTCGAAATGTTCAATATTTCTTTTCATAAATTCATAAAAATTTATTGAATTAACTTTAAACACAAAACTATCAGTATCTGTGTAAAGTAAGGAAACTTTATCGCCTAATTGTTGCTTTAATGTGCCGTAATATAAATCATACATTCTTACTTCTTACTTTTGACAACTCCGTATATATATATATATATATATATATATATATATATATATATATATATATATATATATATATATATATATATATATATATGATTGATGATTGAACGTTTACGTTATCCGTAACGTACATGTTAGGCCAAGTTTTAACAGTAACGAGGCAAGTTCGTCTGATGGAAAACTTTTTCCAACACATTACTGTTATTTTCCGCCTGTTATGTTCCAATTTAACAGTTTTCCATCATACGAACTTGCCTCGTTACTGATATAACTCGGCCTAACATGTACGTTACGGATAACGTAAACGTTCAATCATAGGACCCATTTATCAGTTTCTTCGGATAATAGTCCGGATTCATTTTCGTTTTGTTTTTGAAGTAGATGAGATGTAGAAGTTACTAGTGAGCGTCAGTGACCCCTGAGTTAATGTCCGTGTTTGTTTAACCGTGTATCAAACATCTTTTACCCCGGTCTAGGACGTTTCGACACGGCCATTTCGAAGCGAGGACATTTCGACGCCGCCCATTTCGACGTCAAATGTATTTTTTTAGGTAGGTTATAATTCATACAAAATAATATATTTGAAATGTCTCTTTTAATTTTATTATTGAGAATGCATAATATAATTATGTGATATTGCTTTTAAATATTCGTTTATATTTCTATTGTTATAATCGATAACGATTTTTAAAATCCTCTTGTCACAATCGCGATGTTTTTTTAATTTAGCTGGCGTCTACTGACCCAACAGTAATTGTTTATAAAACAAGTCCCTTCCTGTTTGTATCTTTTTAAGTGCATCAATAAATTTTCATATCGTTGGATGATCCATGGACATTTCGTTTTGAAGTCTTCTTTGTGCAGCTTCGGCGTGGTTGTTCGTTCTGTCTGTACCCTCCAAAACGCGATTGTAGACAGACCACAATGTGTATGTGTATGTATGACTCCTCGAACCATTCTATTAGAGGTTGCAACTCGTTAGACAAAAAAATGGTTGATTGCAAGATCCATGTCTTCTTCAGGAACAAATGCCAAAGATGTCACCATTATGTCTTCTTCAGGAACAAATGCCAAAGATGTCACCATTCGTGCATGAAGACTGAAATCAGCATCTGTATTATATCGACCCAGAAAATTAATTTGCGCCAAATGTTTTTTTCATATTTTTCACCAAATTAAAAAACAACCTAGCTGCTCTGCATTTCGAAACCCTTCTTTGAAAGCGTTTATGGCACCCAGTTCAAAATCGCATGAAATCTTCTCCGAATTTGCAGCTGGCTGTAAATGTCCCACCATACCAATCATTCGGGCATATATAGTTTGCCGTTTGTTGGACAGGAGAGCATAAAGAACAGGATGAACTCCCCCAAATTATTTAGCCATAATTATGTAGGTAAAAAATTGAGGCAGTTAGTTTAAATGTCCCATCAACAAACCAATGTTTTGAGTCCTTCAAAATCTTTAAATATTTATATTGTAATGGAAATTAATTATCGACATTTAAGATCAAAAATTAGTTAACTGTTTAATCTAACTAGGATCAGGTACCTAAAATGGGATAATGAACTGCTTAATATAACATTACGTATCAATATTAATATTTAGGTAATTCATTAAAAGTCTTTGTAGGTACCTAATTTTTAGGGATTAATTGTTTATGCCTTTCATAAAAATGAGACCATAAGCCAGCTAATGGTTACATATTTACTGCAGCTATCTATCAATGCTTACTGCGAATATTTAAGGAACAAGATAAATTACCCAATTTTATACAAAGAATTGATCTGCAAAAAAATAGACATTTTAAATATTTTTTTTTAATAATTTATTACTTACTTAAAAAAAATTACATTTGGCATCGAAACGGCCCGGCGTCAAATCAGCCGGCGTCGAAATGTCCTCGCGTCAAAACGGCCGTGTCGAAACGGCTGCGTCGAAACGTCCCATTCCGCTTTTACCCCTTTACAGCATACGGCATTTCTTTACTGCAGCAGTAGCAATTAAAGCCTACGATTGTCGCCTTCTTAGATTTGAGTCAACAACACTTTGACCCCTGTAATATTCCTCATCTTCAACTGGTGTTACTCGTTTCCTCTTGACTCATTTTTGAAAGTTTTTAGAGCAAACCGAATTATTAAAACTAGCACTCGACTGTTTCTGAAGACGCCATAAGTAAGACAACAGTTTCTCTGTAGCGAGAAAACCTCATACAATAGTTACAGTACTGTAGTTGATAACACAACAGTGCCACTTTAGATAAACAAGTAATGACAGCTCCTTGATGATCATGTGATCACTATCTGTCAAATCTAAGCGAATGAACAACGTAGGCAGTGGACCAGCGCCCTATCAATAATTTTGAATATTTTCAATTTTGTTTTGATTTCCCTTGAAATCAATCTAAAAAACATTCTTTATATAAACTAATCAAAACATTCAGGTCAGGTTATAGGCTACTCTAAATAGATGTAGTATTTCATGTAAGAGGCCCATGAAAGAACTAACTCAAACTATTGCGCCACAATAACAACAAGCGTTTTGAAGGTCGATGAAATGGACATATTCCTTCCTACCTTTTTATTATTAAGACTTGAAACATCCTTCAAAAGGCGTCGATTTTATATCCGCTTCTGTTCCTAGCGCAATAAACACCTACGCTTGAACCTATATTATTAAAATAATGAGCTTCTTACATTCAATGATTCAAATAAAATGGGGATATGTGGTAGATATTTATACTGGAACACTGCAACTTTTTTGTCATAGGGATACTGGCTACGTATTTTTCGAATAGTATATTTTTTAATGAGAATATTTAACATTTTTAACTTACAAAGTTTTTTGACAGATCATTTCGAAGAACTTAGGGTACAGGAACGTCACCCGGTGATTATGAAAATATATATAATTAGAGATTTCCATGTCAATACATTTTCGAATACCTATGTTAAAACGATTTTCGAATACAATATTACTGTTTTGATTTTCCTTCAACATACATTTATTTTACTATTTCAGGGTTTAACCTATGTTGATAGAGAACATGTTAATCCAGACGTTCCTTTTCTTTTATGTACCACCAACGATTTCATGTTAGGGGATGATCGTACAGACCTAACATTTTATAATACTTCACCTGAATTGAATATAGTTAGTGAACCGGAAAATAAAATTTTCAGAATCAGAAAACAAAACATGCCTGATTTGAATTTATGGATCCCTGGAACAACTGAATGTAAAGATAGTGGATTAGGTAAAATTATGTATACGTTTTTTAATTTCTTGTTGAGACTAAATTTAAAAAAGAAATACATAACGACTTGTCTACAAAAATAGACCATGATTAACAAAGAGATATGAGTTACGTCTCAAATAATTACAAACGCCTCTGGGTTAAATCTAATCTGTCATTTAAAGAAGAAGAATTGTACACTCAGACATACGTAATTTTTTTCATTACCTACTTTAGAAACATTTTTGTAAATCACTCCCTATTTTCTCCGCTTTATACCGCACAGCATTTTTTTCTCAAGAACTTTTAATAGAAGTTTTCAACAGGGAACAAAAAGAAATTTTCATTTTTCTTTTTCTTCCCTACCCTTTCATTTAAAAAGTACTTTTGTTTCATTTCAGATTTTATATTTCATATTTTTATAATCATCCATTCGTATGGTGAAGGAGTATAACCCGAAACCTGGACCCGATACGCTAACATATCGGTTTCTTTCAATGACTATTTGTGACCTTGACGGTTCTCTTGTAATAAGAACCGGCTCCAGCTCTTTATAAACACAGGACTGTCTTAGAAAAATTAAGGGTTACTACAGATTTACTTGAATTAGTTTTGATGAAAAAATTATAATTTACAATTTCAAATGGTTTATGCCGCTTTCCTGACTTCCGCGTAAAATAACAAATTTTACAATAATTTCTGAATTTTACTAATTTATAAAATAAACATGAACAAAAATGTAATTTAATTACACTGGGCAACAAAATTCAACGATAAAATAATAAACCTATGCTCTTGGACCGTTGATTACGTTTTCACCAATATAAGCGAATGTTAACGTGAAAGGAACTACAGTAATACTAATTGTAACAATAACTGGTTTAGACTTTTTTAAATGATTTGAGGAAAATGTATGTTGGCTGCATCGTAAAAGAGCTTCTGAAAGATACTTTAATATTTCTTTTATGTCGTACACAACCAGCTACCATAACAGACTAACTTCATAAACTTCATCAAAAGAACCTAATTAACGTTAGTCTGTAGATCTTAATTTATCTAAATACAACCCCGTATTCACAAGGAGCTGAGAGCTAAGTTCTTATTATAAGAGAACCATCAACGTTTCAACTCCAACAAAGTTGCTGAAAGAAAACAAGAAATGTCGGTTCCATTTTGTACCCTATTCCGTGCCAGATCTATTAATCAGAGCCAGGGAGGTGGTAAGAGATGGAGATGCCATTACGTGATATAAACAACACTACTTTCGCTATATTGGTATGAAATTTTGACATTTGTATATGTAGGGGTTACATTGTGTTTTTGATTAAAGAGCGATCTACAAAAAAATGTTTCTAAAGTAGGCCTTGGAAAAATGTACGTATGTCGAGGATACCATTCATCGCGTATTTATTACGGAAATAACTCGTATCGGTCTGTGTCTTTTTAGTATTTAATTCATGGTTTCAAAATTTTTTAAATACATTACTGTTAGTTTGAAATATGCTCCGCCTTGTAGTGCCATTTACTTAGTACGACGATATAACACATATGACATCTCCACCTCTTTCCACGTCCCTTCTCGGAGCCAAAGCAATTGACAATTTTCTTCTATCAGTCCCATAGATTATGCTTAGAGCATATTATTACTAGAGCCATCATTCAAATAAACTTTGTTTTGATACAGGAGGGGAAAAATGGTTTCCGGCAATCTCATTGGTTTTGGTTCAAATTTTCCGAAATTTTGTTTTGGTTTTCATTAATCTTGAACTTATTTTTGCAGTTCATAAGTGATTTTATTAATGTTTTATAAACAATTTAAAATCTTACAATGGGTTATATCTCACAAACGAAAGATGATATCAAAAAATGCTTAAAACCGTTTCTAGGATAGGAAGGGGCAACTAAAATGACATAAAAGAGAACTCACAAATTTGTAGTTCAACAGGAACTTTATTAAATTTTCTTTCACAATTATTGATTTACCCTGTACAATTAATATTTATACGATTAGATCTCATTTTTTATAGGCTTTTCAATGATGTATCACAAGTAGGGGTTTGCTTTTTAAACTTTTTTAGTTGGGGTAGGTGGGGCTTAGAAGGTTGATGGAGGTGATTTCTCTTTTATGCCATTTTATTTCAACCTTCTTATCCTAGAAACGGTTTTAAGCATTTTTTGATATCATTTTTCGTTTGTGAGATATAGCCCAGTGTAATTTTTTAAATTGTCACACCGTATAAATATGGAAAGATCATTTCACAAGCGAGTCTCTATCAGTTTTTAAAATGAAACCAAGATTTCAGACAAAAAACAATAAGGACGTAAACTTGAATTTAAAATAAATAGTAAGTTATTTCTTCGTGTGTTTTGGATAAATATATTTTTTTATTAATTAGTTACTTATGAGCTTGATTTCTATTTTTAGTTTAACCCTCCTTAAGTCTACAATTTTTATTTAGATCTTTTCAAAAGCAAAGGGATTCTTTCCCTTATACAGCTTGATTTCTGAAAAAATTTTAAGTTGATATCATTTTTCGTTTTTGAGTATTTTTTTGAATATTTTAATTTCAATCCCCCTTAGCCCCATTTTAATCAAAGTTTTTTCCAAAGCATATGCTTCGTCCCCTTATAGAGCTTGACTTTTTCGGAAATTTTCAAGTTTATATCATTTTTCGTTTTCATGCGGACAAAAAACATGACATCGAATGGACGGACAAAGTAAACCCATAATGCTCTTCACAGACTACTGTGTGAAGAGAATAATAAAGTACCGGACATTTTTAAATTAAAAAAAATGAGAATGAACAGATCTATTAAGTTCTCCTACTCGTTATTGAAAAATTGCCGCTGTTAGTAACTGTTATTGGTCATACAGACAAGAACTGACGAGAAATGACAGCAGAATTGCGCAGAAACCAACGAAATTCGCGAACGCATTTCGTCGATTAACTCTATCGGTGATTATAGCGACGGAATGTTCTTAAAAACCAAGCTATATGAACTTCGCCAATAAATTCCCTCGACAATCTTCGCCGGTAATTTTCGAAAAAAGATTGTTCTTCTTAAAAATCAAGGCTTAATTTTTTTATATATTTTTTATTGCCTATTATTTCAACCTTCCCTTTTCCTTTCTACACATCCTGATGTTTGTATTAAAAAATCTGATGGGTCCAATGCACGACTTTCCTGTATCTAAAGTTATTATAAGCCTAATTTTTCTTCTAAATACCAGAAAGTAAAAATCGATGATTTCTTTATTTGATTTAAATAAAAATTATTTATTACTAGACTAAATGTAAAACTATAAAACAAGCCAAATTTAAAAATAAATGTCGAAAATCCCGAAAAAATAATGCGATACTGGTCATAGTGTCCGCAACATTTCCCCTCTGAACCCAAACAAACGCTATTGAATCCGGACTCTATGAAATATATAGTTCTTATTATTTTGTATTAGGCATAGCCGTGCTTTCATAACGAACATGTGGCAACTATGGTATCCCCGCTTTGTGCCTCATATTCGGTTCGGGTAATATCCCACCACCATATCTTCTAATTTTTGTCGACAAATGGCTGTTGCCCTGATGCTATTTTATTAAGTTGTATACTAGTAGTATGTCTAACACGAAAAAATAAGCACTGTACATGCTCAAGGGATTATGTTAGAACATTGACAACATTGATTACTGCAAATAATTGTCATATTTACAATTTTATTAGTGTATTATTTATAACATGAACAGTGAATATTTAACCAAAGTTTTTTCGAGGGCCGGTGAGCATTAAAATGGTCCAAAAAGTAAGCAACTTGGTCATACATTATACATACTATTATTGAACTATGGTCCTATAAGCGAACGCATATTAATAGAATACCCTGCACACAAAAATTACACTAAAATGTTTAAATGTAACTTAAATAATTTCTGAAAAATTAAATATACATTTGTCCAAAACCGCTTCCTATTCGCTCCGTGAGAAGTCATGGAAAGGGAAGCAAAAGCGATACTAGCGCTAGCTGCGGATAATTCGAGCATTTTAGGGCGATATTTTGTAATTTTGGCATATCAAATACACGTATACATTTAACTTTTTTTTCAAAAAAGTAGGTAAAATCAACACAATAAGCAACCGGAGTTGCTGTGTTGAAAATTGTACAAATACTAGCAAAAAAAAACAGTGACACTTATATAAAAAAATTTACTAGCAAAGTGGAAATTAAATCAAAGAAATAAATGAATTGGTGTACAACAAGAAGAAAAATTACCTTTATTTTTGTGATAATAACAGTAATGCTGGAAATAGTAGACATCAGAAACTTAAAAGGTTTTAAATAAACAATAAATTATCATTTTATGATGTTCTTTAATATACCTTTATTCTTAAATGTTCATTCAGCAAGGACTAGATTTCAAGATTTCTTGCTTTGATTATAATATGTGTCTGGAATGCTATTTTGTGACTTACTGATGGGAAACCAGTTTTAATCATTCATTCTATGTTTTCTGTCGAACAAAAATGAAAATATAAATAACAATCCTTTTTTATACATTTTAACTTCACGCTAATATTAAATGGTATTTTTTTATTTTGATAAATAGGCTAATTCTTCAATAACAACTAATTAGACTTAGGCAACTTCTCATACATTCTCCAGTAAATACTGTTGCCTGCCTATATTTTATTATTAATTTTTATTGATTATACATAATTTTCTTTAATTTAAGCGGGAGAAATATATAATAACAATAAATTAATGTTTTACTTGTTTTACAAATCCATATACTTTTATTAAAACTAACATATATACTTTTTATTTACGATTTCTATTAAAAATTGTATTTGTCAGTATAGGCAGAAATAGTCCTTTAATACCAAAACAAATTGGCGCTGCTGTCGCACACGGAGCGAATAAGCGTCTAATTAATATTTTGAATTGACGATTGCCTCCATTTCCAGAAATATATATCTATCTACTAGGTTCAACCGAATGCTTTCAACATTTATAACGATTTTTTTTTGTATTCGTAGAAGACGACGAAATCAAACATATGATCGTTGCAGATTTTGGAAACGTACGTTACAAAAAGATTTTGTCCCCAAAAACTACTTTTGTAGCTACCGAAACCATCGAAGTTCTCCAAATCTACACACCTCCTCCGAAATATAGCGACTTTTTAGAATATTTTAGTCATATCTGCTAATTATTGGGAATACGAAAAGACAAAATTGGATATCAAAATCACGCGAACTTATAGTCTCTGTGACATCCTCTTATCCATTATTATTTTTATTATTATTATTATACCCATTATTTTAAGTATCTATTATTTTTACAAATAAAAAGTGTTTTAGCCGAGAGTTCCAGTTCTTTTTTTTTTAATGAAAGTCCCTAATCGTGAAGATGTCATACATATCTAATAACAGTGTGTTTAAAAATTATTATATTAATAATTTACTCAAACAGTAACATAAAAGTTATTTATGCACGACCGGGCGATAAAGTGTAGATTGTAAATACGTTTCGCGGGCGTAAAGTGTCTCTTTATCACCCTCGGAACACTTTACCGCAAGCGAACTACTTTACTGCCCGCCGGGCGTACATAAAATTTTATACATTTCATAATAAATTATCATTAAAAGGGTCGTGCATAAAATTTTGTATGTATTTCGGGCGTTAACAGCGTTTATGGACCTCACGTGTTAATAGCCCTCGCATAGCGGCTCGGGCTCTTATTTACAAGTGTAACGAAAAAGAAAAGAAGAAGAAAAATAAGAAAAAGAAGAAGAAAAAGAAGAAGAAAAAGAAAAAGAAGAAGAACAATAAAACTTTTAGATATAAGCTAAACTAACAAAAATAATGAACCAAATAATACTTGTTGAAATAAACCTATTATCGTCATGAAATGCAAATCACATTGTATATGGGCCTGTTTCCATCAGATTTAATGTATTTATAGCTTAATAGTTTCTTGTAATTTGCACTATCAACTGTTATTTCATTTCTGCATAGATGAAAACCATTATTTAAGAAGACTTGATTTTACCTTTGATTGATTGATTTCAAAATCAATTAGGTAGGTATTCATATATTATTATTATTATTATTATTATTATTTTAATGCAACCGTTGTTATTATTATGCCATAATATAATATGTACTATGAAACATATTTATTACGTAGAACAATTTCATTAAACAAATATAAAACCGTGACTCATTCGTTGAATGTCATAATGATTTAGGTGACCACAGACCACTAAAAATAAATATTGCAGTTCCTGTTATCCTATGATTAAACCTTATGTTTAGTAATTCTTTTATTGTATTTACCATTAAAAAAAATTACACATGCATCGTCAATGGATGCTATAAAATTTATATGGGTTACGTGGGCATTTAAACAAACCACACCATGAATGAAAAATGATAATTGGTGAATAATCAAAAAACCACTCACTTTGTAGTGGTAATTTTTATCCGAATGTATGTAAATAGAGTTGGGCAATGTTATTTAATATTTAATTACCTTGTTTGATGATAGCATGTGCAAATATTGCGCCAATTTGTTGGTTATATTGGTTAAATGTCAAGTGTCATAATTTATAATTTATTTTATCAATTATTTTATATCATTAAGGCCAGGGGAAATTCATGCGAGAACATCGATTACAAAATAGTATATTACATTAGGATTATGAAAAATCATTTTTACACAAGTGATGTACAATGTTTTTCCTACGACCGCAAAATAATTTATGTGAAACCTAGGAACCTGGCTATGGAGGTTCAATCAAGATGTGGCTGGTTCTAGATTTGTTTTTAATATGCCTTATTGAATAATTTTTAGTGTTTTACCGATGGTGTTTCGTCGAAATCATTTCATAAGATGATGAAGGTAAAATATTAGAACACAATATTGTTTTTCATTAGTTTATTTTCTTTTAACAAAACAAATAATGAGATGAACAACTGCGAACAAGAACTTTTTTATTGTTAAAAATTATACTTGCCTATATTTTTTACAGTTTATAAAATAGTATAAAATAAATAGTGAAAGATTAGCGAATTAGCGTCGTGTAATCCAAAGTTGAACACAATAAATGGTTTTCGCATATGAACGATAAGAAATGATAAAGTATCGATGTTGCCAGTCAAGTCACGCGCATACAAGACCTACCGCTAATGATATACAAACGAGCATGCTGTTAAAGATGGAACCAAATCTATATGACGTACAAATTTGAAAATTTCTGGAGGTAAATTAGCTAAGTATATACCTATGCGAACATTTGGGACTAATATATACGTAAGAAATGGATAAAATTTTACTTTAAAGCGGAACTAATTTTTTTTTCAAACGTGTTTTACAAAGTTAAAAGGTAAACAAGAGATATTAGAAAAAATAATTTACAAGAGAATATAATATTAATGCTATTACCATTGTATAAGTAGTCCTAGTAGGTCCACAAAGCACATAGAGGTTCCACGTGAATGACCAAGGTCAAAACCGACAACTGACATTTTTTATGCTATTTGCTCCAAACTCTAGATGGGGCTACTGGTGAAATTATGATTTCTTACTCCATTTTTAAGCCTTATGGGAGAAAAACTTAACCAAAGACTCCAAAGATGTGACGTGTATTTATTTATGTTCTTGGTTAGTTTCATTTTTCCGTCTGATTTTAGTGATTTTTTGTTGGCTTTGGCTTTTGGTTTCTGTTTATAGTTTCGTCTTAGTTATTTGCAAAATTGTGATGTTTCGCTTTTTTATTTCCTACTGTGTTTTGCAATAATTTTGGTGCTAAGTTGAAAACTTCGAGAAAAACTTCATTGATTCACCATATATTCACCATGCATCTGCATCATAAAAAGACAAACGGGGACAACAACTAATTGATAATCAATTTATCACTGGACTAGATTCCGAAATCTGTATCACCATCTGTATTTGAAAGGAAAATACCTATTTATCATTGAATGAATAGTTAAAAGGATTCACCTTTTAATACAGTGCCTATATTACATTTGTCCTCAGTTAAAAAGACATTTATAAAATATATAACTTTAGTGTTAATAAAATGTAATATCCTAGTCTCTACTTCACATTTACATTATTGATAGGTATTTTAAAGATTTGAGATTATATATCTATTTGCTCCAAGTAAGTATTCGTTAAATATGTATTATTATTTGTATTTATTTTTATCTAATAATATTTACTTAATTTATTAATAAACATATTTTAAGAATGTTCTATTTTATTATTTATTGATATATCTTATATTTATTTAATAAAAATATGCAGAACCAACTCTCCACATTAGACCCCTTATAACAAATTAATTCTTCAAATTTGGTATAATCGACCTAAATTATTTTGTAAAATAAAAGTTTCGAACTTACTAGTTCCATACTTTATTTTATAAAATAATTTATGTGGAAATCATTTTTAAAATTTAATTTAAAACTACTACCTACTCCTAAAAATTACAATTTGAATTTACCGCCATCTGTCAATTGTCATTTTAGTTCCAGCTCCAAACACAAGGTGGCGCTAATTTGGTTTAAAAGTTTAACATTGGCGTGGGGTCTCTAGAAGATACATGCTTTGTGAGTATAGAGAAAGTAAAAGTTGAAAAGTCTTTTGGTAGGTAGAGAGGGGGTAAACGTCAAACCACGTCAGGCGGCTCCGTGAATTTCACAGTAATGTTTACCTGCCAGTGTCGTTTCATAGAATAAGTAATTTTAAATTGTTATCGGCGGAACCGGACAATCGCATGTATTTATGGATTATAAATAATTATTAAACATGTATTATAATGTTCAAATTATAATTTTACAAAATTTCAACAGCTTTCACAATTTATTAAACTATTTACTCGAAATTGTTATTAACATCTATAAAATAATTTTGTACGCCAATGTATCGTGTCCACTTCGGTTAGATCCGCTGACAACCTGTCAAGTTATGTGTATAAAGTGGAAGAACTGGCAAAAGCATTTCCAACTTTTACTTCTGTTCTAGGTCAGCCCAATGCATTTATTTGTTTGATACCAAAAGGAAACCACCACCAAGTGGCCAGTCTAATTGTCTCTCTTTAAGCTAGAAACGGCTGGAGATTTTGCTAGTTTAAAATAGATGGCAGAATAAACTTAATGAAAGTTGCCATTTTTATTCCAGTCTGTATTGTTTTTATTGGATTTAAGAATATGTCAAAGTTTAGAAAACTGATTTTCGTAATATTGTTAAGAGTTATTGCTCCGCTGACCGCTGACAATAGCAAAGAAATTTGTATAAATAGGCATTTTGGTTTAATCCTAGAAGACACAATTTTAAAGATAATACCATAATTTTTTTTATGTGCTTTAGCCCCGAGTTAGCATACTTTTTTGAAAAAATGGCCCGTTTCGTCAAAACAAAATTATAAAGTTTATTAATTTTTTTAAAAAAGGGCAATTTTTAATAGAGAATTAACATTATCAAACATGCATTATTTTTTAAACGATTAGATACTATTAAGTTGTAGTAAATCATTTCCTTAAAAAGATCAAAAAATAATTTTTCAAATTGGACGTAATATAAAGTCATAATTATTAAATCAGCAAATTCGGGTATAAAAATGATTGAAAAATATCCAATATCCTTTCTCAAGACGATCCGTGTTCGTACCGAGGGATAGGCGATATTGTCTTCCTCGTCTACCTAGTATTGAAAATTGGACAGATACGTAATAAGGGGTACATATATAGGATAGATCTGAAATTTAGTCTTGCTCGATGGTGCAAAGTGGAAATATTTATTACATGAGATAATTTTGTTTTTAATATAGAATTTGCAATATTTCAGTATATTTAAAAAAGTGTTTGATTAGAAAAAGTTAGGTTAAAACATTATATTTATATAATGGGTATATATTTTCTAAAATAATTCATTGTCCCAAGAATATCAACTAAGCTACTAAAATAATAAAATCTATAAATCAGTCTTTTAAATAATGTATTTAACAAATGTTTCACAATTTATTAATTTACATGTTTTCTGACTTATCTGTGAAATAAATGTGGAGAAAATACTTAGTTTTCCTTACAAATTTTTCTTGATTTAGTTGCTGTCTGCTGTTGTAATGATGTGATAGTTTTTTGCAGAAAGATGTATTCTTTTCAACTTGAAATAAATAAAGAAAGAAAATGACTTAATTTTTTATTTTATACAAATATATAAAATATATTACATTACATTATTTAACGTATAATAATATTTTGCAATTTTTATAATATTTACGAATGCTTTTATTCGTAACTTGCGCTATAAGTTCAAGAGAATGAAATTTAAAATTATTTCGGCCTATACTGGTTGAAAC